AAGAGTATGTTACAGTTTTCCATTAACTCAGGCAGACAAGGTCGGCTATGAAAATATAATGCAGAAAAGAGCTGCACTGCATGTAAAAAAATTAAACATTTTTTAACACAGTGTCTTCTTCCCTCACTTGCCCCATCTAAACAGGGTTGCTGTTGTGGATCCTGGCTCTCCGCCGTCTTTGGTCATACATATCTTGGCTCTCCATTGGCTTCAGTCATATGTATAAAAAGGTGAAAATATTGAATAGTTTGTGACTAAGACTGAAGAGCCAATCTTGAAAAAAAATAAGCATATGGACCTGTACACATTGTGGCAACATGCCACAGGAAAAAGCAGTGACTGACAACTGAAAAAATGCAAGAATTGCAATGAATTATATCACCTTGCAAGAGATTACAAATTCCAGTATAGTATGGACAAAAAACATCACCACTTACTCAAGGCAATTTTTGATAGAAGCAACAAAGTTACAACAGAGGAGGAACACACTATCAGTCTGAAAGCAAATGCTTCTTAGTTTTAAACATAGGTGCACAAGTTAATATGGTGCCAGAAACGATACTGGCATTTGAATAAAAGCTACAGACAATTGAAAACAAGAGGTGCAGAATTAAAGCCACTTTAACATTTAGCCCCACAAAGACAGAACATGAACTGAACTGAGCAAGGGGAGCTCACCAAGGGCATTTGTGAATGCCCAATTGCCAAAAAGAAGGCGTACACCCAGTGGAAGGGAAGGGCTATCACCAAAGAGGAGTATGCCTCCACCGCTCAGCTCTGTAGGGGGGCTGTTAGAAAAGCTAAGGCAGATACCGAGCTAGGGCTAGCGTCAAGGATCAAAGATAGTAAAAAGTCTTTTTTTAAATATATAGGGAGAATGAAAAAGGCACCGGGTAATGTGGGGTCCCTGCAGGATATGCCTGGCAATCTGATGGTTGCATCAGAGGAGAAAGCAGAGCTCTTTAACAATTTCTTCACCTCCATTTTCTTGTGCAGGGACTGGGAATTCCCTACCAAGATTCCAAGAGGGACTAGGGAGAAATGCTGTCAGGCCTAAGGTCAGGGAGGACCGGGTTAGAGAGCTTCTGGAGGGGCTGGACATGTTCAAATCAGCAGGTCTAGATGCTCTCCACCCCAGGGTGTTGAGGGAATTGGCAGGGCTTATTGCGGGGCCCAGCTTTACAAGCACTCGTGGTGCGCTGGCCAGGTGCCAGGTGACTGGAAGAAGGCCAATGTGGTCCCCATCTTTAAAAAAGGGAAGAGGGAGGATCTGGGCAACTATAGGCCCATTAGTCTTTCTCCAATCCTGGGGAAACTCTTTGAGAAGATTATCAAGGAGCACATCTGTGATGGGCCAGCAGCAGGAATGACGCTCAAGGGCAACCAACATGGTTTCATTAGGGGCAGGTCCTGTCAGATCAACCTGATAGCCTTCTATGATCAGGTCACAAAAGCATTGGATGCAGGTGTCGTGGTGGATGTAGTCTTTCTGGCCTCTGCTCAATTAAAAGGTTAGCCCTCAGTACTAGGTGTGGCTATGTTTAAATGGTATTAAAAATGACAACTCCTAGAATGATACCAAAAAGTGCAAAAAATGATACATGAAGTAAATGAGAGGTCTCAGACAAGGGTCATATTTTAGTTGAGATCCATGTTTTATAAGGATTTCAAGTGAACAACATTGAAGAAGCTAATGCTTGTCATGTACCAAAAATAGATGCCAAGTCCATATGGGTGTCAGAAAATAAATAGTACCAGGAGCAAAGTAGGCATAGATTTGTTTACACTGGCCTGGAAGACACACAGAGCACCTGTCCTAGATTAATTATTTCCCAAGATATCTTACAAGAAAATACTAATGCTGGACATGATAACATATTGAATTATACTTGCTAGACATTACATACATGACAGTTATGTGTGCATGTGAATCACATTTTAGTGGGCATGATTTTAAGTAAAGTATAGGATTTGATGCAGCTGCTACTTCTCATTAACCCAAATCTAATGAGTTTGTTGAAAACTGTGTCAAAATAAAAACACCTGCAAACATGGCATGCAGAGAATAAGTCTCTGGTGTATACTTAGTACTGTTACAGAATGGTACCAAAGGAGCATGGATTGTCACCTGCTGACATTGTTCAATTAACTATTCTAAGAAATGATGTTGGGGACTTTCAGATGTAAAGGAGGCAGGAAAGGCAAAACAAGAACTCCTTGTGGTGTCAGGAGTAGCCTTCACATTGTGAAAGTGGTACTCTACATCGGAGCCAAAGATCATGTAGAGCAATGGTATCACAAAAAATAGTTCACCATTGTTACCATTAGAAACATTAGCAACACCGTTTCCAAATCAGACAAAGCAGGAAAACAAGGGGCACACAACTGACCCCAGACAGGCAACCACCATAGAAGGTTCAGAGATGGACCCGAGAACATGGAACAGTCAAATCTAGTGGGCTTGCTGCTCCCTGACAGTGGTTTCCAAGCAGTATGGGGCACACCGGGGTAAACTGAATACTGTTAGTTACTAGATTGTTTAGAAATATTTGAAGCTCTGCTTTATGATAATGTTGAGCTTTAATTTTTGTTGCTGTTTGGTTGGGAAAAGATTATATGAAGAAGCATATTGTTAAGCAGTTCTGGCATAAGCTAGTTGAAAATAGTATTACAGAGGCTTGCCACAAAAATGCTGATTAATTAAAACTCAGGTGAGGCAAATCTCTCTGAAACCTTGGTTGTGAGAAATTTCTGAATATAGCAAAGACTGTTTTAAAATCTTTACAAACACCATTAAATGGATAATAGAAATGGCAATTGCGTTATTAAGAACATGCAAATTTACTACTGCCAGGTCCGTACTGGGGAGATTGCAGTGAATGGAAGTAGATGCCATCCTGAATTTCATCTCTATTGACCAGCTCAGCCTCCTAACATTAAAATTAATAGTTATCTGCCCCTGACTGCCTATAATGCATCCCTCGATGGCTTGCCAGAACTCAGTAAGCGGCCCTCTGCCCAAAATAATTGCCCACCCCTGACCTAACACAAGTCACTGAGACTGCTAAATGCACCGTAAAAGCCTCTTGGAGCTTACAAGAGGTCAAGTGAAAGGCTTTTACATTGCTAGTGCTGGACCATCACTGCAGACTCTTGATTTTTTTTTGTGGTTTGAATAAAACCACATGAAAATGGGTAACCAGCAGACTAAGTCTTTCATACATGAGGGTGAAATAAAGTAGACAGACAGCATGCTGAGCTTCAGTTTTCTGATGAATGGGGGAAATTGCCTTAGGTACACAATGAAAATACTCTTTTTGGGATAAAATACAGACAGAGACACACACACGTATCAAGGATAAAAACCCTTCACCTGTACTTGTAAAGGGCTCTCTTATATTACTCCAGGACATGAATGGCATGTGCCCCCTGCAGCTGGGGGGGCACAGTGGCAGGAGCACAGTGGCAGTAAGTGGGAGCTCCTGCAGACACTGCCACTGCTGTCGGTGGGGGAGGGGAGGGTGAGGAGTGCCGACCAGAGGTCAGCGACCACCCATAGACACCGCCAGCAGCTTTGGCGGCGGTCAGTAGGGATCGCTGACCACCCACAGACGCCGTCGGTGGTGTCAGTGGCAGGGGGGTCAAGCAGCTTTTTGTAAGGGGTGCACCGCCACGCTCAGGGGGTCCGTGTGCACCCCCTACACCTTGCCCCTGCTCCAGGATCAAAACCCTTTACCTGTACCTGTAAAGGGCTCTCCTATATTACTCCAGGATAAAAGAGAGATAACGGAAAAGTTAATTGTTAACTATTAGGCAGATTAGTGTAATTTCTTTGCCATTACTTCTTATGCACAAGGTACTTCAGATGGGCACAATATGCTTCTTTCCTTAAGACATCAACAATCCAGGGCATAAGGGCACTCATGCAACATGTCAAACACATTCCAATCTTTTCTCACAGCCAATATACATAATTTGGAATCAAATAAATTAATCACCAGATACTAAGGTGAATACTAACTAGTACCTGAAACCGGGGTGTCAAACATGGCTTGCAGGCTGGAGCTAGGCTATGGAACTGTTATATCTGGCCCACCAGTAGTCCAGTGGGCTATCAAAAGTTGGGGGACTTGGCCTGCCACAACCTGGGGTCCCTGGCCACCAAACATGGCCATCAGTGGCAGCCCCCTACTGCCACCTGAATGCAGCCCTGTGCCATCAGAGGGTCCTGGTTCTGTGATACCATTTGGCTAGAGCTCCGTGATGCCACCTGCTACTGGACCTGCTGCTGCAAATGTGGCTCTGTGCTGCTAGCCTCACAAATTTGGGCTAGGACTCCTCTCTGCAGCCCAGATCTGGCCTGGAGCCCAGAGGGGAGTTCAACTTACATGACCTTAAATACATAGTGCATATTCATATTTTGCCTCAGTTGACAATCATATTTCTATTTCCTTTCCCCCACCATTATATAAGCAAAACACTGTCCGGAGAACTGTTCTGTAGTTTGGTTTATTGTCCCATTATCTGTTTTGTATTTTGACTATAAGCTGGCTCTCTATTTTTTTTGCATTTATTAGAGTCACTAAGATTTACTGCCTCTGCCTTGATGCATCCTATATGCATTTCTGAGCTGTCCACTCCATTTAAATTGTGTTCTGGAGCCATTTGTATACACAAGTAAAACTAGATTTACTATTTCAAGGAAAAAGAACAAGATTTCTAATTCCTCACCAACTCAGTGAAGGGGTTTAAAGGTGGGGGGAGGGGGAAATCAAACAGAGAATGTTATTTTGAAAGTACATGGCCAGCTGAAAACCCTGATGGTTCTACAGGACAAAATGCTAAGGGTTCTAGGAATTTCTTGAACCATATCAAGACCTTCAATGGAACTTTGCTGTTTAACTCCCTCTCTTACAGTCTCCAAAACAATTAGACACCTTCAAAATAGTGTAGCAATATTTGACAAACAGTAGTAACAAACAAGTAGAAAAAAGTAGTTTTATTCTTCATCTTTTAAGATGAAATTACAAATGGAAAAATAAAATATAAATAGTGCTTGATATAACCATTAATAAAAATATTCAAAATAAAGTTAAGGAGACAGTTACGAGTTGTTCAGTTTCCATGCAATCATATCAGAATTCAGCTGAGCCTCAGCCATTTTCAAAGCAATTCCTCTGTAAAGGTTACCACTCACTCTTTGGTTCATACCCATTGTGCTTTGCTTCTGGTCACTCTGAAGCTCCTTTCTGAATTGCTGCACTGTTTGCTTATTATCCAATAGAGAAGCCACTGTGACATTGTTCATCATCTTTCCTGATTCATACCTTGATATGAAGTTGTCTCCAAGTTCACTTTCTGCAGCAGAGAATGACTCTCTCAGGGTGACCATTTCCTTTTCCAAAGCCAGTAGAAACTGGTTAGCAAGGATGTCCTTGCTTTCTAACCTTTGATATTTTATTTTACAGTTTGGTGGGAGAATGTTAACGAGACTATGAAGACACTGGAACAAGACAGCTTTATTTCTGTAAAAATAAAAGCATTACCAGTGAAACACATCTTCCTCATTTCTCTCAAAAATCTCTACAAAAAGAATGATTAAAATGTTACCTTAAACTGAATGGGGAAAATAATTTACAGATCTGTTTACTTTTATAACCAACTACTGTAGGTAGAGTAAATGCATGTCAGCAAAGACACTAAAACCAAGCAGGCTTTAGCACCATTAGCTGATACTCAAGTGAAAAAAAATACCCTAAGTTAACAGTATCATGTCATCTATTTCTTAAGCAACTACTGTCACTACCAGCAGATGTGCACTGTAATCCTACAGTACTTTCCTTGTATAAGGGTTTGCAATGTATGGCTGGGTATGTTAAAACTTAACCAGTCTTAATCCTTGGCTGAAGTATGCAACATTTTCCTGAGTTTTAAATAAAATTAGAAACAATTATACAGGCAATAGAAAAGCTGCTCTCCCAGCTTCTTCTATGACATGTGGGATGTAAAAGTACTATGGATGCTGATCTCTGGGAAAAAGGAAACTGCAGGAACCTGTCAAATGCTATTTTTTGCTCTGCTGGGCTAGGTTCTGCTCCTCAGAAGAGAGAAGACTATTGAAACTACAGATTAGACAAACCTGAGAGCCCACTAATCTAATTCTGACTCATGAAACAAGCAATATTCATGTCTTCTGTTTTTTTAACCACAATATAGGACCTACCATTTCTTTTAAAGGCAATCCAATATCCATCCATTTGAAAACAATGAAAGATGAAGATATTCCTTATTAGAAGTAACCATGTGCAAGGAGTTAGTGAAATTTTAGTCACCTTAGCTGAACATAGCTTGTGGTTTCAGTTTTGTGTTAAAGAAATACCAACTATTTGAACAAAGTTAATTGTGAATAAGGAAAAGTTAACTATTGTTTGAAGTTTAATACAACTTAAATCCATCAGATACATATTTTAAAGAGAAGGCTCTACCCTCGAGAGATGAAGGGTAACCTTTTCATTATTCTGACTTTTCGGCTGTAAACTCTTCAGGTTGAGGAATGTACCAACTTTCATGTTTGAGAAATACTTACAGAGCACACTGTGAGTACTGCTAAACCAAATAATAAGACAGGAGTTTTATTACCATCAACACACTCCTTAGTCTGGTATCAGAAATTCTATAGCTTACTCAATTGTGAACAAGTCTAAACACAGTTAATTTCAGTCTATGTGATGCATGTGAAAAAAGGAAAATATAATCAAAACTATTCAAAAATATTTATATCTCATTTATCAGATCTTGAAAAACAGGAATTAATTGGGCATGTATATGACACGGAGAAAAAATTAAATTTGAGGTACTGTTACCCAACTGAAAAAGTGACAAATAGTTTAATTTGCAGTTTGTAGGTCTTTTGGTTTTCATGACAGCCATAAAGACATATGAAAGCTTATTTTTATTTAAATATATCCATATTGTGTTTACTGGAATGTATGATTTTCCTAAATCAATACAATCTTGCAGTTAGAACTGAAGTTATTAAAATGTACAACTCAATGAACTGAAAAGTATGCAATTAGTGTGATCAGCTGATATCTGCATACTGCAAATTGACACAGGCTGTTTGTTTAAAAAAAAAAAAATATACAGCCCACAAGGAAGCCTGTAAAATCCTAGCCTTCATCTGAAGCAATAAGGTTAGTAATGAAAACTCCGACTCCTAATTCCAAAGGAATATTGCCACAGATCCTGAGACACACTCAGGATAGCAAGTGAACTCTTACAACTGTGGAATATAGAATATTTTATGTTCATATAACTTTACATTTTCTGACATTAGTATTAGTACTGTATATACTTAGATTTTATGCTCACTTATTATGCAGAGCACCTATGTATGATCAAAAAGGGCCATCCAAATCATACTTTCTAACAGGCATAGCTTTGTCATTTAAAAATAGCCTTAGATGTCGTCACTGCTATGCATATAACTACTATGCCACAGAGTAATAATGAAAAGGTTATTCTTCTGCCTCAGGCTTGTTAAGGAGGCCTGGGTATTCCCTAATCTTTTCAAACCATTACCTGCAAAACAATGTTAAATTTCCTTTGAATGGAGTTTTCAAATTCCAGTTAAAGACTGTGCCATGCAGACTTCCCAATTTATGACAGACCATATTTTCAGGACATTCTTTGATTGGTGTACATTTCATTTGATCCTGTAGCCACATGTTCACAAGAGTCAGTGTACATTCAGATGAGATTATGTGAAAGGAGAATTTGAGAGAGACCCCAAGAATAGCAAATACATCTTCCATTGTACCTGAAAGAAAAAAAAACAAAACAAAAAGGGTTTTGAACCAAACATTTGGTATTTTCATAAATAATTTAAGTTCTGAGCAAAAATGGCATTTCTGTTTAGATTTCAACCTTAATTTTAATTTACTTTTTTTTTTTTCACTATTACCAGAAGGAAACTGGAACTATGATTCCTCAGTATACCTTGGCATAGACTAACTGATTGAGAGAGGCATGAGCTTTTGCAGGCAACAGTGTAGGTAATGTGAATCTAAATCTAGCCAACTGGGACCTATTCTTTTAAATAAATAAGGATATGTCTACACTTCAAGCTTACTATGCCAAGCAGGAACACTATCAAACACACTTTGTGTGCTTTACCTATGCTGCCTGACAAATAAGCAGCAGTGAAGCATCTGCAGTGACACTAGAAGTGAGCTAATTGTCCCTGGTGAGTATCAGTGCTAACGAGGCTGTAGCACTTCAAACATAATTATATTGCTTTCAGTTTAAGAAGTGGCCTCAGTGGAGCAGCACGGCATGTCAGAGTATCTGTAAGTGAAGGCAAGTTTACAGTGTAGATATGCCCTTGATGGTCTGATCTACTGCTGAATAGTTCAACAAAAGTTTCAGGGATTTCAATGTTATTGCTCAAAGTTAATCTAAAAAATGTTAGCCATTTATCTCAGTAAAATTCTGTTTTGTATAATTATATTAGAGGTGCACCAATATATTGGTGGCATATCAGCTCGGCACCAATAAAAGGAAAATTAACATTAATGGCAACAGGCTTTTTTTGGCTGGTATAGCTGATAATGTCATCAATAAATGCTGTGTACATGTGTGCAGCTGCAGCATGCACATGGCCAGGAATGTAGCCCAGCAGCTTGGAGAGCAGCATCTGTTAAGTCTGTGTGGGGGAGAAAGGGTGTGTCGGGGGGGCAGGCAGATAGAGGCCTCCAGTGAGGAAGTGCTACCCAGCCAGGGTGGTGAATGCGACCCCAGCAGTGGGATGGAGCCACGGACAGCTCCCTGTCATTCTGTGAAGCCCTGGAGGATGCATGTGCGCAGGGTGGTGAGCTGCCTGCTGCAGGATCAGGGCCAGGGGCTGTGCCAGCCTTTTCCCAGTGGGGGTCTGTGCTTGACGTGGGCAGCAGTGGTGCTGGAAGGGGGAACTACAGGGAATTTTGGGGTGGCGGTAGCCCCCCCTCCCAGAGCTGCTGCCCACCCTAAGTGGAGCCCCTGCCAAGAAGAGGCCAGTGCAGCTTCTGGTTCTGAGCCCACACCAACCAGCTCACCTTTACCCCACACACAAATCCAGGGGCCTCCATCTGCACCCCCACACCTCTTCCCTCCCCCATGGCCCTTCCCCCCTACAAGGACTTACTGGCCAGATGCCACTGGACTGCATTCCTGTAAATCAGCTATTGGATCGGTATCAGACAAAATGGCTGGTTAACAGCTGGCCATGTGTATTGGCTAAGAAAATCTTTATCAGTGCACCCCCATAATTTTAACAGGAAAAAAGGAGCAGTCCAAGTTGTTTTTGTGCCTCATTTTTTACAGCAGGCACAAAATTAAGTGTTGCCTTATAATTTATTTGTCCTGAAGGACTGTTAAGAGTGCTTCTCTTGTTTTTTGACAAATCAATTACAATGAAGCTCACAGGGTACTTTCCCAACACCATCTTTAAAAACATATTTTTATATGAACACCTCCTAATTCCCTAAATTGAATAACCCATCTTTTCAATCTCTACTCACTTAGAAGTATTTCTATGCCATTAATACATTTGTCACTCTTCTCTAAGAAAAGTCTCTTCCAGTTATCTACTTCTTGAAATAGTGATAGAAACTGAATACAGAATCCTATGACAAAGGCAAGGACGATTTTACCATGGTCTGAAGGAAAAAAAAGTTCGGAACTCTAACCAGTGCTTTCATAACAAAATAAACAAATAAATAAATAAATAAAAGATTGCATGGATTTTTTTGCTTGTACACTTACTATTGTCATTCAACACATTTATTGAATATTTTCCACTTGAAATATCTCCCAGATTTAATGACATTTTTCCACACAGAGTAATTTTCTTGTTTCCCTGTAAGATGCCATCTTGAGGTTCTCTCCTCTTTGCGTGCAGGAGCACTGTACAACACACATTACGAAATGCAAGTAGTGGTGAAAGTTGGGTAACAGCAATGAATGTTTTTACTCCATCTGCCAGAACTTTACAAGATCTTTCATGGTATTCTTTTTTCACATAATTCTTGCTATGGAAGTCCAGTTTTAACTTTTTTGTTGGTGGTTCAGTCTGGCATGAAGAGATGGACATTGTTGAGAAAGCCTTGTTTAGTTTAACAATTTTATTCTGACATCTAATGGGAGAAACTGAAGTGGAGCCTTGATCCATGACTAGGGATAAACTGACATCATTCAGTGACCTATGGAAACACATGCAAGATTATTGGATTTCAAAACTTATATTTTATCATTAGCCAAGCTTTTTTACATTGCCAATACAGGGACTAACATTTAGAGCTTTTATGTCTTGCAGATTCAAAATTAAGTTTTATCAGACCTTCTCATATGAACAGCAAAAATTATCAATGTATACAATAAAAGAGACTTTTTAAATGCGACAGTACAAAGGTATACAATCAACTTTTTGAAGGTATTTCAATAATATGTTTTAGTTGCTCTCAATAAAAATCCCAGCCTATATTTTCAAAACCAATGGAAATCAGATGTTCAACTCCTACTCAAAAGTCAATAGAATTTGAGTGCCTAAATCTTCACTTCTATTGAAAAATATCTACCATGGCCAAACTAAATAGTTTAACCCTTCTTATGTATATGCTATTTTATTTTCTTATAATATATTAGAAATATTTTAAAAGTTAGAACAGCAACTTTCCTTCTTTCTTTAAGTATTAAAAGTGAAAGACATAGCTGTATTCCATCTTTAATTTTAGAAGTCTTGTTCAGTTCTGTTTAACTAACACATGGATTTCAAATTAAGATTCTGTGTTATCATTTAAAGGAAATGAAAATAGCTATGTGAAACTTCTGAACTCTTCTTACTTTGCATAGTGGTCTCAGATTGGGTTTTGTTTCAACAGCTTTTAAGAACATTTGATTTAGTCCCGGGGTTGGCAACCCCTGGCACACATGCCAAACCATGGCATGCAAGGCCATTTTTCTTGGTGTGCCATGGTCAGTCTGGGCTCTGGGCAGTTGCAGCCAGCCACAGAGCCCAGGCTGCTGGCAGCAAATAGCTAGGAGGCTGCAAGTCCTGCTGCAAGCAGCCTGGGCTCTGTAGCTGGCTGCAGCCAGGAGGCTACAAACAGCTGCACCAGGTTCTGGAGCCCTGGCCAGGCTCTGTGGTGGCAGCGACTACATGTGCACCTCAGGGCACAAGGCAGGGAAGGTGCCGGGGAACTACAACCCTGGCCCCTCCTCCACCCTCTGCCTGGAGGCCTGGGTGCAGCCACCACCAGCAAGGATTAAGCCCCTCACAGTTTTCCACAGTCTGCCCCTGGCATGCCAAGTCAAGGCATGAGTCAGGGGAGGGATGTTTTTAGCCCTCTAGCCACAAATATTGCCAATCCCTGATTTAATCATTCAACTAATGCCATTCAAAGAATGAAAGGCCCTTGGAAGTCTTATAAATTCTTTGCAATATTCTTTGCAGTGAAGCAACATCAGCTTACAACATGACATAACACAACACTGCAATTTTGCTTTATTAGTAAAAAGGGAAAAATAATCAATGAAGTGCTATTAAATTTGGAAAAGAGTATTTTGAGGGCTAAGTGAAGCAAACATCACACACGCATTTTGAAGAGTTGGTTCTGTTCCCAGAACGGTTATTGATAAGCCACATAACCCTGACAGTCACATAACTGTTTTTAGCTGCTTCACCATTTCTAAGAACAGTACTGTTGATTTCCTTGGCAAAAGTTTCAGATCCACCAATGAAAAGTGCTATGCACAAGAGCAAAGTATTTTTAAAGTTACTGGTCTTAAAATCTCTTCCTCCAGTGGCTCCATAGAGGCTGCCATGATGATGACATAAGGTTTCATAAAAATTCTGGGAATCTGGTAGTTGAGAAACTAGACCTATGGCTTAGGCAGAACAGCAGGTCGGTTCACTCACAATCACTAGCTTGATTTTCAGTGGAACTGGAATTTTTTAAGCTTAATTTATCTAACTTGAACTACCTTGCTTGCAGGAAGGTAGTTCAAAACAGGAGAGTTCCGTGTCTTTTGTAGTTTGCAAATGAAATACTTGATAATTATACTTTTCTAGGGCAAAACGTAACAGTAGTTTAACATGTTTCATTACCAACAAGCGATGTACACACATCATGGACAACATGTAAAAATTATCTATATAATTTTGTCTTTAACATGCTGTAAATAAATCTAATTTATGCCTCACATAATTCAGTTCAAAACCCATAAGCGTCTCATGCACTTATTGGAACCAAATGATATTCAAGGGATCAGTAATGTCTTCTATTTTACTTTTCTCAGATGACAAGAATATGATATAAACAGGGACTTACAAGTACGTCTGCTGCTGCACAGTAACTATTTTGTACTTCCATCTTATCCTGTGGTGAGTGGAGTTAAGCTGATGCAGTTTAACTATGAATGATACAACTCAAACATAGTAACTGTCCTTCCTCTCCCTGTTCCCCTTCTATAATTTGAATCATTTTCTTACCTGTCAATAGCCCCTGCTTGCCAAGAATAGTAAGAAACTAATGTTAAGAAAGCAACATGTAGATTTTATACGAAGTCACGTCCATTCTATAAGCTACCACCAACAAAGTTATGTCATTTAAGGATATTAAGAGGTATAGTTTTGGTCAAATGTAGTTGTGCTAACAAATGCCTGAACTAGCTTCCGAGTACTGCCAAAACTGTTGATTTGTCACTACAGCTTATTCTAGTCATGGAGAGAGGAGAAAGAAGATCTACCAGCAAAATCTTTGTACATGCTGGCTTTGCTTCCCACTGGCAAAACATTCCTAATAAAGAAGTGGCCTAATTCACGAAACACAAGTTAGAAAAAAAACCTTCAGCGCTGATTCATCCAGACTATAGAATAGAATAGATAGAATAGTGTGTTCATGCTTCTAGCTCTACCTGTTTTTTCACATTTCTTTATGTTAATGTTATGCCGATAAATAGTTTTTTGGGGTTTTTTTAAACATAAAAGCCAAAAGATAGCAATCTAATTTTTCCTTTGCAGTCACTTTTGCAACTGCAGGGCACAATCCAAAAGAATTATTATGAACAGCCTTATGGAATTTAAGGTATTAGGTACACCTATTTACTTACAAGTTAAGCGATTCTGTTATTTGTACTCCAATTACCAAGCTATCATCCACCACACGTTGCCACACGTTCTCTATGATTTGTTCTGGATCCTCAGATCCCAATGCTGTCTCTTTATTAAGAGAAGAAAAAGGATTTTCTGTATCATCCCAGAGAGAAACAAGACCTTCCTTATAAAAAAAAGAAAAAAAAAGAAAATACATGTTAAGATAAATGAAGTGCAAGTATTATAGTCACTGCAGAACTTAAAATGTTTTTCTCTAATTTATCCCAAAATGCATAAATCACCTAAGGAGAGAATTAAGATAAGTGAAGTGTGAAATCTACCTAGTTAATCTCTACAGTATATTTGAAATGTATTTATACAATTGTTTTTTGTCATGAACTCATATGCATTAACCCAAATTCAAAATTCATCCTTCCACTGCAAAATTATCACAACCCTGAACTGCTATACAATCCAATTAGCTTGAACAAGGCTGTCATTAACTTTGTTTTGGCATTATTCCCTCTTGATCACTTGACATGTTTTGCACCTAAAACTATTCATTTGTTAGCCATTTCCTAATAGGATTATCCTCAAGACTAGCTAAAACCAGAGATACTTTAGATATGCAACATTCAATATTTTTGTTTTCCCCACTGTAACTCCTCTCCAGCTCTGAAAAAAATATTAAAATGTATTTTGTAAAATGGATTAAGCTGTCATAACACCTACATCTTACCTCTTCTGCAGTTGGTAAAACATGCTCTCTCTCTTGAACAAGATTGATTAATGCTCTGCAAGATTCAAAAAGGACCTTCTCTTTGAGCACTAGATGCTGCTGTAGTTTTTGAACAGAAGTATAACCAGCCTGTAGGGTATAAAAAGACATTTCTTAACACTCAATTGCATCATAAACTGGCTGCCACCATAGCTGTTTAAAACACCTAATGGAGATGCAACAAAAGGTGGCATTTTTCTGCAAGTTAGCTGAAACTATCTGCCTGAATGGCAGAAATCTAATCAGGGATTGGAAGGGATCTTGGGGACAGATCCTTAACACTGGCCACCAGCTACAGATGTCAATATCAGAGCAGTTCTTCTCCCCACTCCTCCTCCTCCCTCTTTCCCTGGAAGCCTGCCTCCAAAACAGCTCTGAAACATTCAAATCCTTTCGGAAACATCCAAATCATTTAGGAAAATTTCCAAAACATTTTGGATCACCCGTTTCATTTTGAAGCTGTTCAGGAGTCCTGTGTTTCGTTTCAGATTTGGTTTTCAACCGCTGAAACATCCAAATTCGAAATGAAATAAAACAGCTACCGAAATTTCGCACAGCCCTAGAATGTGTATATATGCATATGTATACTCGCGCACACACACATACACACTTTGGAATTTTTATGTTGGCATTGTTTACCAGCTAAATGAACCATTCTCTCTGTTATACTTATTTTGATGGTATTTTTCTTACTGTGTTATACAGAAAGCCAGTAACTTTTGAACAGAACATTTAATTATTTTTTAAAAATGTCAAAAGATGTTCCAGACTTCAGTCGGGTAGAACTTTTGTTTTTAAGTAGAAGTTAAGGACAAGATGGGCAAAATGATGGAATCCTTGATACCTGGTAAACAGATGCAGAAGCCTCAACCAGCTGTAATGGTTTACAGTCAAAGAACCAACTGGTGGCAACCACTAACATTTTCAGTTCAACAACATCAGACAGAGATCCTCTCAAAGACAAAGGGATGGGAAATTGACACAGGGCACATCTACACATGCATATTAATGTGATACAATGAATTCCAGCACATATTGTGCTAGAATTTATTGCTACTGGGTGGAGCATTTACATGTGTTCCTGGGACCACAGCATGTTGAGCTGGGTTGGGGGTTCAGCCTGCTAGCCCAAGGCAGCTCCAACCCAGCTCAATGTGTTGTGAAGGGTCTGGCTGGGGCACAAGAGTGCTCAAGTGCAGGGCTAGCCGGCAGGCAGCCCCCATGCGGAAGCAACCCGCATGCTCTAGCCAGCTCTGTCAGCATCTATACGTGCACTGCCACAGAGTAAAGAACTCTGCTGCAAGATAGTACTTGTTTTCACAAGTACTAATCTGTGGTGGAGTTAACTGGTTTACTCCATCCTAGGAGCCCTGCATGTGTAGATGCTGGAGCAAGGGCAGACAATTATTTTGGGCATAGGGCCACTGAGTTTTGGCAAGCTATCAAGAGCTGCATGACAGGCAGCCAGGAGAGGATAAATATTAATTTTGTAAATATTTTAGGGGCCCTGCAGGCTGGATAGAATGGCCTGGCGGGCCACATCCGGCCCGCATTTTGTCCACCCCTGTGCTGGAGGCATCTACGTGTGATTCTATTTCACCATACCAACCTGCTACACGGATGTACTGTCCACAGGCAAAAATCATGACACTGCAGGTATGTCGCCATAGCGACATGCTGCCTCACTATAGTGCATTGCTATGGTGACGTAGCAGCTAAAAAACAAACAAACCTGTGCCCAGTATAGGCTGTTACTGTGCCATCAGTTAGTACTTCTTTTTGGAAGTACTAAATGATGATGGAGTAACAACGGAGCCACAGGGGCATGTGTAGACGCGCCGACTGAGATGTTGACTGCAGAGCTAATTAGGCAACTATGCAGTCAACATCTCACGTAGATATGCCCGCAGAGAACTGGTGGGAGGAATGCAAGGAGCTCATCCAGAACAGCAAGTCTACAATCTCCAGCGATTCAATTTTAACAACACACATTATAAAATATAGACTGTTTGCTCATACATAGCCAGTAGTTTACACATGCTTTTAAACCACAGGCTGGAGTAAAGAAAGAATTTCACAGTAATTGTACTAGGATATGGAAGCATTTACAGCCATGGAATAACGGGACACAATGGATTTTGGAAATTGTAATAAAATTGTCTCAGCCACATCATTGCATTTCAGCAGCAATTTGAACATCTGAAGTCTCAAAAGCCCATCATCCATTCCAGAGAATTTGGGGTATAGAATCTAATTAGACTTTTATGCTGCATTCATAAGCATAGTACACTGGTATGAGTGTAATTAGCACTACTCTCTCAGAAGTAGACAGGAAATATATAAATCTACAACCTCTGAAAAAAACAGTTTCCAAAGATATGTAAAAATATAACATTATATACATACACACCATACACACACACACACACACACACACACACACAACACTAATGTGCTATGTCCATGCACTGTCATTCCTGAAGATAACATCAGTAAAGACTTGATACCAAGCTCAGTGCAGCTGCCACTCAAGTCCAGATAAAGTGAGGAAGACTAATCCTACCTAACCTCATAAGACATACAAAACCAGAGTGGTAGCTCAGTTTTGTTTCTGGTTAAACAAACATAACCTTTCTGGAAAAAAAAAATAAAAAAAATGGCTCCCTGCCAGAACAATGCTAAACTCTCATGCTACATGAAGTGAGAGCTGGTATCTAGAAATCAGGAACTTGAAAAATCTGGCTACAAGAAAATAGCACAAAGTTGGTAACTGGAATGTGTTAAGAATATTTCAAATAATAAAAGATCCCACATGAGGGAGATGGATAACTATACAACTAAAATCCCATTAGGGCAGGGGCGAGCAATTATTTTGGGCAGAGGGCCGCTTACTGAGCTTTGGCAAGCCATCGAGGGCTGCATGACAGGTAGCCCAGGACACACTAATATTAATATTTTCTCAATTTTTTTTAGGGGCCCTGCGGGTTGAATAGAATGGCCTGGCAGGCTGCATCTGGCCCCTGGGCCGCATTTTGCCCACTCCTGCATTAGGGAGAACAGATTTACAGGTGTGGATAAAAATCAGTCCATGCAAAAGATGAAGCATCTCATCTCAAAAATATTCATCACCACATACAAATTCACTCATTAGTTTGGAAACTAATTGCATCAGAAAAGCCAGATTCTAAAAGAGCTTCTTAAAAGATGTCTGTTGTGTACTGCTGTACTCCAACAGAGGAAAGTAGTGGAGAGGAGAAATATGAGTTCCACCTATACACTCTGTCTGAGATGCAACTGAAGAACTCCAATATATGACTTGTTCTTTCTGATGGGCAGATTTAATGCCAAATCAGAGTGACAAGCAGGAAATGGAAAGACTAAGGGGAAAGCATGGGCTGACAAGAGACTCACTGAATCACGTTTGGTATCTGCTCTAGTTCCTGAAAGTATCCTCAGTATGTCTGTGTGATCCTCGGTATGTCTGGGTGAAGGAACAAAGATGGGAGCTTGCCAAATTGCAAAATAAAAATATCAAATTAGTCATACCTGTATCAGTTGGAGATTCATGTTACCTTTATCTTTGACAGCTATAAGGACACATCAAGCAACAGATTTAGCAGCAGCAATTTTTGCATTGCTAAATTGAAAATAAGCTAACATCAACTTCAAAGAGAAAGAAGAAAAAATGATAATCAAACAATACAAAAACTGGGGACAAAAGGTATTGCACAAAATTTTAACTTGAACTGAAAAGAACAGACTAGAGGCACTATCTGAAAGAGAGGGAGGCAAGAACAAATGAAATCAAAGAAAAATGGACACTGCTCAGAGGCTAAGTAATTCAAAGGGCAGCAGTTAAGAGTTTGATAGCAACAAAGAACAAGAATTAGTGAAGTCAAGAGACAATGCAGCTCAACAGAGGAAAGAAACTGACAAAACAGTGAAATGGCCTTTGTGCGGGGTGGCAAAGGCCTGCAGCAAGACAGCAGCCCTGGACTTCAGGAGGGCGGATTTCATTGAGCTAAGGAGACTAGTCAGGGAGGCACTGAGGTACCGGAGGGGTGGAGAGTTGGGAGTCCAAGAAGAGTGGTCATTCCTGAAGGAGATGATCCACCAAGCCCAAAGGGTGACATTCCCAACATGGATTAAAGGAGGCAAGAGTGCTCAAAAGCCCCCATGGCTCACCAAAAGCATCCAGGAACATCTCAAAGCTAAGAAGGAGGCATATACCCAGAGGAAGGCCATCATCAGGGAAGACTATACCTCCGTTGCTTGGGATTGTAGGGGGGCTGTTAGGAAGACCAAGGTGGAGATGGAACTAGGACTAGCAACCCGGATCAAGGATAACAAGAAATCCTTTTTTAAATACACAGGGGATAAAAAGAAGGTTCTGGGTAACATGGGGCCTCTGCAGGACACGCTTGGAAATCTGGTGGTCTCACCAGATGACAAAGCTAACCTATTTAACAATTTCTTTGCCTCCATTTTTCTGAGGGGGGACCAGGTCATCCCCCCCACCGGGATCCCCGATGGTCCCAGGGGAGGCGCAGCCAGGCCTAGGGTCAGACAGGACCTAGACAGGGAACTTATGGTTGGACTGGACGTGTTCAAATCAGCAGGTCCTGACAATCTCCAACCCAGAGTGCTGAGGGAATTAGCAAAAGTCATTGCGGGACCCCTGGCACGGCTTTATGAGCACTTGTGGTGCTCTGGCGAGGTGCCGCAGGACTGGAAAAGGGTCAATGTGGTCTCCATTTTGAAAAAAGGGAGGAAGGAGGACCCTGGAAATTATAGGCCTGTTAGTCTTACCTCAGTCCTAAGGAAGCTCTTTGAGAAAATTATCCAGGTGCACATCTGCGAGGGGCAAGCAGGGGAGTGTATGCTTAGGGGCAACCAACATGGGTTCATTAGAGGCAGGTCCTGTCAGACCAACCTGGTGGCCTTCTATGACCAGGTCACAAAATCCTTGGACACAGGTGTCACGGTAAACGTAGTCTTTCTGGACTTTAGGAAGGCCTTCGACACTGTCTCTCACCCCATTCTCATTAAAAAATTAGGTGATTGTGGTATCGATGCTTACACAGTCAGAT